AGCACAAAGCTGCAAATAATGACAGGCTGAGTGCAATTTGATGACAGTTGCAAGCCAGATTGAGCAGCTCAACTTTGAGCCAGTCGAATCGATCGACCGAAATTGATGGTTAAAATATATATTCATATATCAGCCCCATTTAGACCAAAACAAATCCCACTCGGCCGTGACAAATTAAGCATAAAATTGTACAATTTACGCTGGTCAGCCATCATAAATTAAACAAATTTTAATCAAACATAAAGTGGCACAACCACTCCGCAGATCGTCTGCTGCCTTTTTTCTAATTTTCTCACAGTTTATTTTTGATCCACAAATCACTCGAGGCGAAATGCGAAGAAGCCAGCTCTCTGGGTTTATTTAAACATTAATTAAATGTCCGAACATGGGAGTGAGTGGCACAAAAATATCAGGCGTGAAAGTCTATACGAAATTTATGAAAGCTGCCACAACATTTTAACGCCAGTTGGTAATCGACAGCCTCGATGTAATCGCAAACGCAATTGCAATCATCCACTGACAATCGTCATAATTTATGGGTCCTTCTGGGCCGGCTTTGGTCTGCTCAAATAGCCCAATAACATAACAACTAAATTGATAAAAACCACAAAAAGCGACAGACGACAATCAATGGAACAGAACGGGAGCAGATTGTTGGGGCTTGTGTTGGAAAGTCGACCTATAGATGCTCTTCCAAAGAAAGGGAGCTGAAAAAAAGTATGGACAAATATATATAGAGATCTTAAAAATAAAGTACATAAACGGGTCAATATTTATCAATCATTATATATATAATTTAATATTATCAACATTTTTTCAAAATACGTAAAAAAAATATTTATCTTGGATCTAATTAAAAATTTGATGGATCTAAATCTCAATTTCAATTTTTTAATAATTGAATCTGTTAACTGACTTAGAAATATTGAAATCACTTGCAAATTCCATTTTATGCGCCTAAAAGTATGCTGTAATATAAGACAGTCGTCTTTCTGAATGAATCCATTGCACTTTTCAGTATAAGATTTAGTGTTGCATACTTTTAGGCACCCTAAACCACATTCGAAAATTATTTTACAACTCCTTGTTGCTTATATGTACGTTAATTTTGTCTTTGGACAGATATTACGGTTCATATCTTTGAAGCTGAATTATGATATTTTGGATTCTGTTTTACTGAAAATTGCAACATTTTTCAATGCAGCTAAAAAGCCTAGTTTTGGAAATTTCGTGAAATACTAATTCCTTAAATATTATACGACATCGATTGTCTGGATCTTAAAGAGAGGTTTTTATTTTGATTTAATCTATGGTACGATATTTTATTCTCGTTATTATATATCCCATATCCCCTAAACTTAAGGGTATACAAAATACCAATTGAAACGAAGCCGGTGGCAATTGGGGAAACGGGAACTGGGGACAACCTGGGAGCTGCTGTCTGACAGCAATCGAAAGCTATGCAATAATAATAGCACCACAAAGTCGGCTGAGGTGAGCCAACAGAACAGAAAACAGCTGCCAACATTCACACGTCATTTAATTTCGATTAGTCGCCGTTGAGACAGACAAATAAAGCAACAAATGGAAAGACAAATGTTTTGTGGTCAATACTTTGGCTTTGGTAATTGTCGCCTTCGACCAGGAGAAATGCACAAAATGCCTAATTGGCACTTGGATGTGCCAGAGTATGGCGAACGCTTCACCTTAATTATTGAATTCCCCCCTGAATTTCTTGATCTTCGATCGCATTTTGGGCTCTGTAACTTTACCAACTTGCAGCTGAATATCTTCATCATTATTCGTGTTCGAATGGCAATCACACTTTGGGACTGCATTCGATTCACATTTTTGATTGATGAGTATATTGTCTTGCCTGGAAGTTCAAAAGGTGAAAGAAGTTCCTTAATGAAGTCCGGATGGCATCCGCTTCTTGTTTTTTCTCTTTTTTTTTGGTAAACCAACTGATTGACCCATGAGAAATAGCCTCGAGGTGGTCTATTAGTGATAAACTTTGAATTTGATTTTAATTTGATTTGGTGTAAGAATGTGATTCGATGTGGGATTTATTGGGAATTAATAAAAATACTTAATGGAAAACATATAATTTTATATTTTCATATGATATCATATTATATGAATAATTTCTTATAATAATTTATAGAATATGTTAAATATTTGAAATGTAATTTTTAGTTTCCTATAAATATTAGCCTATACATTTAGAAAAGATTATTATTTCATATCATATCATAAATATCTTCAAGTTTAATAATTATACTTTTTAAAATATGATTTTTAGTTTAAGGACTCCCTAAATATATTAACAGATCTAAAATTCCCATTAAAACTTACTTAATCCACCCATCCCCCAAAACACTCATCAAAGCTGCCCAAATTAGGCTGTATCCAAAAAATCCATTCCTGAAAACTCTACGCAATAGGCCCTCTGAACACAGCAACAAAAAGGCTAAAAAAGGAAAATGTTTTCCCCAAGCGTTTAACACCAGTTCGTCCCACCTCCAGCTCTTAACCCACCCACAAAGTGTGAATGAAATAGGTTAGGCCAACACGGCAGCAACAATTTTTCGCTTTGAAAATGATTATTAGGTCAGTTGCTGCTGACAGGCCGAGGAAAAGTGGGCGGGGCCAGTGGGCGGCAGCTGGACAAGCGAAGGCGGCCCAAGGCAGTGAACAGGACAAAGACCTCGCAAAAAGGGGGCAGCAAGGGGTTAAGCCGGCCAGCAGGCACCTCATACGAAAATAGCAGAGATTCCTTTTGAAGTTTACGCACAAGTATGCCTTCGAAATAGCCCCATGGAACTTCTGAAAACCAGGATGCAGGATAATAATTAACGCAATAATCATCGATGAATGGATGGGGAGGAGGAGCAGAGAAAGCCAGAGAAAATTATACAGAGAGGGGAAAATCAGAGGGAAAGTGGTATCAATTTGGCTATTTTCAAGCCAGGTTAGGAGCTATCAAAATTATGATATTACTCTAGAACTTTTTTTATACAATCCAAAAGCATCTATAAGTCTTATCGATAAAGTCTAACTCTAAGTTCTATTGTTGTCCTGAAATTCCTATTTTTCTTTAAAGCCCAATAAAATCATTTTATATTTATGGAACAAGTTAATACCCTTTTTATTTAAATTGAAAATTCAAATTTATAACTTAAATTACTAGGCAATACTTTGTTTTTTTTGATTTGAGATATTGTGTTACGTTTTATTTTTAATATTTTTATATATATTTTAAATTCATCTCTTATTTACTTTATGAAATATTTTCAAAGGACTTTTTAGCTACTTTTTGTTGGCACCACTGAAAGGAAGCTGAGGCCGGTCAATGCTTAAAATGATTAACGCGCTTAACCCATTGGTGCTCAGGCATGCGCTCGGCACCCTTAACCCCCCCCGGGCAGCTCTTTAACCCCCTGTCGGCCCCCCCTTTTTGCCGACACTGCGTGTGTTCATTTTGTAATTTGCGTAGGTGATGCCATGGAATTTGATTTTCACACGTGTTGCTTGCTACTGCCACACACCTGCCTCCCACTTTCCTTGCCACCCACCTGGCCCCGCCCCCTTATCCTTGCTGCTCATGTTAATGTTAATAATAATGGAAATGCTGGGTGTGTGCAATTATCTTCCATTTCATTGATTCCACACACGCGCCATATAAAAATAGAAAGCGCGGCGAGAGAAAAACAGAACCACAGGCCTATGCGAGGCCCTTAACCCATTAGGAAAGCGACGGCAGATAGATATGAAAATTGCTGGGTGAGTGTACTTTGAAGTTATTGAAAAGAGTTGGAAGTTTCGACTGGTTTCGCTGGGCCATTGGAAAGTTATATCATTTTCAAGACAAATGTTGCAAGGGCAAAGGGAGTCTTAAATTACCGCTCGGCCAGCAATTTACTTGCACCGAGTAACCTCAACCTCGAATTCAATAATTTCTTGGAGATTGAGCTTGCTGGCCAGTTCAAAGCTCACGACAACGGGCAAAGGAGTAGAAGAAGATGAAATAGTAATAACAATAATCATAAATACAGCGGGACGATGACAACCCTAAAACAACCCATCGACCAGCTCATGACAGGAAAAACTGCACAGGCAAAAGATGGAATCACATGGAATCACAGATAAATTGTGGAAGTCATGGAACCAAAGGGGGAAAAATCTTGAAAAAAATAGGAGGAGAGAAAAAAGAAAACCTGGGGAACGTGAGTAGGAGGTTGAAATGTTGCGCGTGCGCAGAAATTGAAATGAAAATTGCTGAGGCAGCGGAGTCATGAGAAGAACCTCTTTCTCGATAAGTCATGGGAAGATCTTGGCGTAGATCCCCCACTTAATTGCTCAATTGTGTTGACAACTGCAGCCACACAAAATGTAAATATTTATATAGATTAAACTAAAAAACGAAAGATCAACAGAGAAGCATAACAAATTTGTGCGAAATGCGAAAGTCGCATTAAAAATCACGCAATTGTTGGTTGTTTTTCTTACAATGTCTTGGCCTTGTTTTAATGGCCTGATATGAATCAACTATATATTTCCAGTCGACAGCTCTCTCGGCCATTTTGTCCAAACGAAATGTTTGCGTGTGGCGGGCAATTTATCAAAACATTTGATTTAGTTGTAAGAAAGCATTTTCAACTCAATTTCGGTTAAGTTCCGGGAGCCGGTCTTATATAAAGGGGAAAATGGCAGCTAACATGGTAGCTCCTGGAATTGGAAATGGGTCCTGCCTTGAGGGTCCTGTGCCAAAGGCAGTTCCAAAGTCCTGGGTTTCTCGGTAGGTAAAATGAGCTGACTAACGTAATTGGTAATAAAATGTGTGTAGTTGGTGTGGTCTTAATGGCTGCATTTTTAGATGGAAACCAGTTTTAAGTGAAAAAGAATAAATAAAACATGGGTGGATGGATGAATACATTTATGTTTTCTGTAGATTCCATAAAAATAATCAGATGATTATATTATTATATAAATATTCTTACCACTGCCAATTGAAATCTGCAAGAAAAGAAAAAAATAATTAATATACATATTGTTATAAAATCAAACATTGTTAAGAAATTGCATATTATTAAAAAACAATATCCGTGTTTGTAAAGTTAAAACATCTATAGTTCCCAGACGGCAAATTCAAGAATATCTTCTGTAAATTATGATTGCAGTTCATCAATTAGTTCTCACATTTCCCATATTCTTACCGGCAATCAAAGGTAATTAAACAACTCAACTGAAACATCGAAACGAACCTGTTGTTGTAGCATTTTGTAATTAAAACGTCTGATACAAAACCAGATGCAAATTAACCAACAAAAACTTGTAGCATTTTGCTATAATTTCTGCAGCTGATAATTTTATGCAAGGCCCAAAGAGCGAGTAAAAAGGGGGTCTAACCTCGCCGAGGGGGCAATTATTTTGCCACCAACAACGGCTACACCGATAACAATGTAAACGTCAGGAAAAATGGGATTTCCACCATATTTTTTTGTTTTTAATTTAATTTATTCAACCCCTTTTCTATAAGACAAATAAAAAATGCTACAAAATTTAAAAAAAAACTGAAGGAAATATTTTCTAATAGTTATCAAAGACCAAAAGCTATGTTATAAATTATATTACACCTGATATATTATTAAATTTAATAAATTTAAACAAATGTACTTCAACATTGCTTTAAAAAAAAAAGTTGTTTTAAATAATTTGTATAATATAATGCCAATATCCTTTGTATCCATGCCAATAAAGATCTAAAATATGTAAATAAAACCAAACAAATCCAGTTTTAAAAGCTTGGTTGAATTTAACAATTATCCTTCAAATAATTCAGTTATTACCATTCTTTAAATACAAACATATCTTTAAAAAAAAAGGAACCTAATATAATATTTCTGAACTAAAAAACACTTGAGAAATTAACATATTTTAAAATGCTTTTAAGCTATTTCTTAGCTAAATTTAATAATTTCAAATTGCCGTCGGGATTTTCTTAAAAGTTTTTTTTATTTATTTTCAAAGTTCTTAAAAAGTATCTACTGTTTTCAATACATATCTTTAAGATACGAACTGAAACCGATCTTTAAGATAGCCCACTTGTTCTGTTGCTCCGCCCAGAATGTTTCTAATCAAATTGCGAGAAAATTTAAAAATTTCGAAAATGTCTCCTCTTATTTTTCTTCTGCCCCTCTTCTTCTTCTCCTTTGCTTGATTATAATTTGTTTTATTTGTTTTGAACACGTTTCGGGGATTGCTTCTGCTCACAACAAATACAAGGACGTGGGGGGGGGGAAGAGGAAGGCGAGGAAGAGGCGTGAAAAGGGGAGCAAATGGGGGCAGCGACGTCGACGTCGGCAGCGCAGCAATAACTGTGTGTGCATTTGTATTTGTTAGTCATTTCGCTCTCTCATTGCCAGAGTGTGTGTGTGCCTCCCTCTCTCTCTCTCTCGCTCAGTTGCTCTCTCTCTTTCCCCCGCTAGCTGGCTCGCTCTTTTCCATTTCAATTCCCATTTCAATTCAGATTGCGATTTCATTTCCATCGTCGAGACTCCGCCCCCAAGAGCGTGTTCCGTTTGCCAAACGTTCCGTTCTCTCTCGTTCCGAGCCGGATCTTGCATCTCCCTTTTTTACTGTGTTTGTATTGTCTTTGCGCTTGCTTTTGCTTTTGCCTTTGCTTTTCTAGTGTTTTTGCCTTTTGCCTTTGCCTGTGTTTTTTTACTCTATTATTTACTCAGGCGACTTTTTGTGTGTTTTGTTTTGGCTTTGCGTTTGTGCATTTGTTTATGCGTCTCGTTTTACAATTTAAAGGCATTTCCTTTGTGCAAAATTTCAGCACTGCGCACTCTCGCTCTCCCTTGCTCCCTCTCTCTTTCGCTCTTTGGCTCCCTATCGCTATCCCCGTCTCTTTCCCACATCCATCCCTCAATCAGAAAATATTGTTATATTGAATAAATATTTTACTTACAAGGTAAAAACAATATTTTGGCTTTAGTCTCTGCTTAATTTTCGGCCCTTGTGGGGTTAGGGGTTGGGGGTTAGGGGTTAGGGGTCTCCAGGGTCCTTTGGCCTGCACTAATTTAAAATTTATGTTTTTCAAATTTCGTTGGGCAATTTCATTTTGTCGGTTGTAGTTTTGCAACAACTTAGATGAGTTGGGGTTTTTGGGGGTTAAGAGGGTCCCCAACTCGGGTTATTTATAGAAGAGTCCTGCGCAACTTCTGCGGTATGTAAATTTCTTCATAAACAATTCATTTCAAAGAGGTCCCGAAAATTCAGAAAGGGACATCTTAACTTGGCATTGCATTTTAGTTTTAAAAGAAAGGTTAAACTATTTGAAATTGATTTGAAATGGTTTAAAAACTAGTTTTCAAAAAGATAAGATAAATGTTCTTAAAAAAAAAATGGTCATAAATATATTAAGAAATAAAACATCTGACGTTGACCCAATTTACACTCTTGTTTATAAGGTTTTTAATAATTGTAATAATTTTAAAAAATAATGATGGTCAATTTCATATTTATTTTAACCTTTAACTGGGTTATTAGCATTGTTATTTTAAAAGTTATCTAACAAATAACAAAACTATTTGTTAAATATAAATTTCAAAATTATATCAAAAATAATTTCCTATTTATTTTACTCTCTAGCTTGATTATTAGTTTTTCCACCAAACAATTATATATTTCACCCTCTCTCCAATTTCGCCGGCAAAGTAATTTTCCCCAATTATCTTTTGGTGTTTGAAAATTGAAAGATTAATTGCCAGTGAAATGCAAAAATAATATCGTATCTCCTGCTCACCATTTTCATTGTATACTTTCTTCCTTTAAATCTCTTTATTCAGGGAGAGTTTATATACAATCCGGTTGTTATGTATGTACGTATGTATATACTCTGGAAAAGCCCTGCTCCTGGGCACCGCTTTTCTTTATATCCGCCATTTTATTGCTTTTTCTCCGCCCATTTTTCCACCCACGCCCACTGCCCCTCCCGCCAAGGAAAAGCTCGCAAAACTCTCGACATTTCATTTGCAATTTTCTTTTCTTGCTTGCATTTTATGACTTTTTCTTTAGCACTTCTTGGGCGGGACAAAAGGAAAGAGGAATTTTCACTGGATTTTCCACAACCCCAAACCCAACCCCACCCCCTTTGAAATTGGCAACATCTGCGTAATGCAATTTTCCCTTTTGGCTGGCTGGTGAAAATTTCTTCGTTTCTTTTGTAGTTGCTGGCTTTCATTTTATCATTCCCGTTTTCCTCCTGCCTCAAGAGAAAATGTTCTCTTTTTTGCCAGCTTTTTAATTCCTCTTGCCTTGGCATTGCATTTTCCCGGGCCAAGACATCCTGCAGGATTTATGTGGCGGCCAGGATCTTTGTGGTGGCCACGCCCCTAACTCTGCAAGTTTAAGAATCCTTGGAGAAGTCTTTGTCTGATTTCCCTCGCTTTTCCCCAAAGTATGCTACGAAAATTGTACAAAGTTTCCACACACTTAATGCCTGGCGTTTCCCATGCAGGATATGTCTGCGGATGAGCGTAATTTAGATATGAACCCACTGAGAGCCCCAAATCTCAAACATATTTTCCTATTTTTTATTACCCCACTTCGATAATACTTTGTTTGGGGGCGGGGTCGTTGGGTTGGAATAAAAAAAAGAGGGGGCCTCAGCCTATGGTTTATGGACTTCCCGCCCATCCTCCGAAGAGGACTTCTCGGCTCCTGATGCTGCCACATCATTGTTGCCCGTGACAATAATTCAGGCAGGACGGGACAAAAGCCAGCAGCACCTGCAAATTTATGGCCGACTCGTGCTCCTTAACCCATTCCCATCCTAGCGGTGCTACTTGACCCTTAACTACTCGAACACTTAAAAAAATATTAAAATTTTTCTTTTATATCTATCTTATTTAAAAAAAACAGTTTAACTTATAAGTATAATTATACAACAAGAGATTTTCAATATATTATCAAAGTCTTTTTTAATACACCTCCTTCTCTGCAATTTGTTATTATTAGAAAATTTTTAAAAAATTTTTTGAATTTTTTCGCTATTCAAAAATTCCAAAATTTGCGAAAATGTTATTGCTAAAAATGTTGAAACAAAAAGATTCCAAAAACAGATTTGGTTACTTCTTAAATATTTTGAAATTGCGAGAACGTTAGTGGTAAAAGTGTTCAACATGTTTAATCAAGAGCTTTCTTGTTATGATCAAAAAATTTCAATTTTAACTTTAGTAAACTAATGGTTTCCTTGTTATGCTCATAAAATTCCACTTTTTACCTTAGTCAATAAATCAATTAATATACTTTTTCAAAAAATTATTGTCCAGTTTTTTTAAAAATTTTGTTAGGACTTTTTTTTACGTCTCATTTTTTTCAGTGCACTTCTAGCCCAACTTGCAGGTTTTTTAAATCTACTTTATATTTTTCGGGTGGGACATTTTATCGCATTTGGTTAGGTCGTAAATACCTGAGTGGATGTGAAATCCTTGGTCGAAAAAGTTATGCAAAGTTCACAACTTTCTTTTCTCTATCAGCGTTTTCTGTTCTATTTTTTTTATAGTTTCCTGCATTTGGCAATGTCCTGGCCACTCCCCCTTTCGCCCCACCCCGCCAACTTTATTATCATATTTGTTTAATATATTAGAAATTTTTTCCACATCTTTTTCTACTCCATACTTTTTTTGCGGTTCAGCTTGCAACCCCTGATTTGCCATCTTTCGTTCGGTTTTTTATGCTCCGACTTGTGGCAACTTTGCTCAGCAGTTTTTGACATTTTCCATGATGGATTGCATTTTATGCTAATTGAGTTTAAACACAGTTACACTTTCCCTCACACACTGGCATGGAAAATGTTTTTTCTTTGGCATTATTTTTTGCACTTTTGTCTTATTTGCTCTAGGAGATGGGGAAGTATTTTTTTTCTATTACTTATAATACCTACATATATTCCTGCGATTGACGGACAGATTGTGCGCTGCCTTGGGATTGGCGGTTCGGGTCCTAAG